ATTTACAAACGTGTTCCCGACGTTTTCGTAAATAACTTTTTTCGGCCGAGTAGATTTTCGTTAATAAAAAAGAAGATATAGGCTTTTATTTAAAAATCTAAAACTTTTGCCCATAACCCAAAAACAAAAGACTGCAGGCCAGTTTCATTTTCAACATGACAAATTTCCTGGAAAATGAAAAATATGTTCGATAGGGCGTTGTGTGCAGGTGCCCCATCCTGTTGAACCCAACAGTTTCCAACTTTTGATTTTTTTTGTGTTTGCCGTAGATCGTTGCAGTACAAAAATGCTACTGAATACAGTCGGCCATATAAAAAAATAAGGTTGTTAATGATTTCTCCGAAAAAAAATGTTGTATTCAAAAGTTCGCAACGCTATCCTGTAGAGCTGAAATAGTGGCAATGAGAAAGTGTTTTTATTTTTTTGTATTTGTTCAAATGGCATCAGAAAAAATAAAACCGAAATCGACAAATTTGGGTTTTTCTGGCATATCTTCGAAAGTAATCGGAATTTTCTGTTTTTTTTAAGCATGATAATGATAATAACTCTTTAATTTTCTCTCTTAGGAACAAGAAATGGAGATGCGGTTTTCTCGAGTTTGTTTAGAATCATTTAGCTACTTTTTCATGAAAAAAAATCAAACCAACGCCTTTATTTTGTTTGAGAAAATCATTTCTGTGGGATGTCGAAAAAGGTCCTCAAGCGGCGATATGTGAAATTAACAAAACTTCAAATCTTATAATATTTGTAGCCGAAGAATAATTCTTTTCAATTAACCCGAGTTTGTTAAAATCGGCTCAGCCATTTCGAAAATACAGGGTGTTCTTTACGGAAACCTTTGAATAATCAAAACAAATCAAGTCAAATCATTTATTGTCAGAGTACCACATGTGGCTTTGACATGTCAATAATGTACAATGTGAATAACGTAAATATAAAAAAGCAAAATTCGATAATTCGAAGAATACCCCCACCACTTCAGTTTTAGAGATACAGCAAAAATTGCCACAAAAAAAGGTTCAGATTATCGTCGACTTCAAAGACTAGGAATTTTTTTGTTAGGTTAATGTAGCGGAATTCACAGAAACATCACTTTTTAGATTCCAGACTGCAGTGACGCTCCCTAGAGGCCATTTCAGAAACAGGCCGTTTTAGTAATAACTTTTTATCACAATCCTCTACGATGGACAGGTTCCCAGATACAGTACCTCACATTATTTGGCCACCCTGTACAATCGTCATCTGGAAAATATTTCTTAAAGTAGAAAATGAATAGTATCTTTTGTGTCAGCAGTCATTGCGTCATTATCCTCAATTATAGGTGAAAGATCGGCCCCTTTCAGTATTGTTGGAGCAAGATTTTTTCCAACTTGCATTACTTGCTTTAACTATTTTGCGGGTGCGTCGGTCTTCCTCGTTTCTGATTTCGTTTCTGCAGGGAATTGTTGATGACCTTCTGGCTCAGAACACTCTTTAAGAAGGATTTTTTCGTAGGAATGCTTTTCGTACATTAATCGATTGCAATATCATTTAAGTATCGTCGAAAATTCTTTTATATTTACATTTTCTTCAGAATTTCTCTATTTAAATTGCAAGTTGCAATTTTAAATTTTGATATATAATACAAGATTTGATCGTTTCATTTTCGGCCAAAGAAGATGTTTGAATTATGCCAAATCAAAAGAAAAGCTCACAATTACATTTCATACGAACATTTGGGTCCTGCATTAAATATATGTTCCACATCTACCACATGTGTTTAGTTCTCCAACATTATAGTTGGACAGATGAATATTCACAAAAAAAAAGGATTGGAATACGGTGTAAAGCCAATTTTGATCATTTCATACTATTTAAAATCCTTGTTCTAATAAGCAAAATTGATCTTTGTAATAATTTGGAGTCATTGAAGAACGATTTTGGTCCATTCATGGCTACCTAGATTTAATAAAAAAATGTACCATTTTTGACCCACTTCGTACAAATTATCGAAAGCAACGTATCAGGTACACAGTGCTATTTTCCCGAGAAATTTAGGTGTAGTCGATTTTTGGTAAAAAAAGGAAGGTTATACACTGCCTTTTTTTGAGCCCCGAAAAAAAAATTTTTTCAGATCGACCCGGAAAAAAAATTTTCTTATAGAATGTGGCCTGTAGAATCCATAATTTCAAACAGTTCCAAGATTGGGCTACTAGTTCAAAAGTTACAGCCCTTTGAATTTTGTTTCGAAATTGGTTTCTAGTCTATAACTTTTGATTGAGAAGTCTGATCGAAAAAGTACGAATTGTTTTGGATTCTACGCACCAAAATTAATAAGAAAAAGTGTTTTCCCGAGAATTTTTGGTGCAGTCGATTTTTGGTAAAAAAGGAAGGTTATACACTGCCTTTTTTTGAGCCCCGAAAAAAAAATTGTCTCAGATCGACACGGAAAAAAATTTTCTTATAGAATGTGGCCTGTAGAATCCATAATTTCAAACAGTTCCAAGATTGGGCTACTAGTACAAAAGTTACAGCCCTTTGAATTTTTTTTCGAAATTGGTTTCTAGTCTAACTTTTGATTGAGAAGTCTGATCGAAAAAGTACGAATTGATTTGGATTCTACGCACCAAAATTAATAAGAAAAAGGGTTTTCCCGAGAAATTTTGGTGTAGTCGATTTTTGGTAAAAAAGGAAGGTTATACACTGCCTTTTTTTGAGCCCCGAAAAAAAAATTGTCTCAGATCGGCCCGGAAAAAAAATTTTCTTATAGAATGTGGCCTGTAGAATCCATAATTTCAAACAGTTCCAAGATTGGGCTACTAGTTCAAAAGTTACAGCCCTTTGAAATTTTTTTCGAAATTGGTTTCTAGTCTATAACTTTTGATTGAGAAGTCTGATCGAAAAAGTACGAATTGATTTGGATTCTACGCGCCCAAATTAATAAGAAAAAGTGTTTTCCCGAGAAATTTTGGTGCAGTCGATTTTTGGTAAAAAAGGAAGGTTAATCACTGCCTTTTTTTGAGCCCCGAAGAAAACATTGTCTCAGATCGACCCGGAAAAAAAAATTTCTTATAGAATGTGGCCTGTAGAATCCATAATTTCAAACAGTTCCAAGATTGGGCTACTAGTTCAAAAGTTACAGCCCTTTGAATTTTTTTTTCGAAATTGGTTTCTAGTCTATAACTTTTGATTGAGAAGTCTAATCGAAAAAGTACGAATTGTTTTGGATTCTACGCACCAAAATTATTAAGAAAAAGTGTTTTCCCGAGAAATTTTGGTGTAGTCGATTTTTGGTAAAAAAGGAAGGTTATACACTGCCTTTTTTTGAGACCCGAAAAAAAATTGTCTCAGATCGACCCGGAAAAAAAATTCTCTTATAGAATGTGGCCTGTAGAATCCATAATTTCAAACAGTTCCAAGATTGGGCTACTAGTTCAAAAGTTACAGCCCTTTGAATTTTCTTTCGAAATTGGTTTCTAGTCACGGGCGGGCCAGGTGGAATTGCATAGGTTACGGGCCATTAAAGCATTAGTGTAGTAATGAAGGTGGCGTGGGGGTAGCTCTGTGGTGCACCACAAAAACATTTTTTGCTTTATTTTAAAGTACTCCTTTTTCGGAAATCAATTACAATACAGGTTTTTTTTAAATTGCAGCTGATAAAAGTAACAAAATATACAATCCACACGAGGTTCGTCGCCTATCATTGTATTTCAGTATTTTCATGCTACGACAAAAAATGATAAATTCATTGTAAAACACTTCAATTAAAACAGAATTTTTTAACCTAACATCAACCCCAATTAGAGAAACGTGTTAATAATTTATGAATAGTGCAAGAAACTAAATACAGCACATACTTATAAATTTCCAACGGGCCATTATGATCTACAGGCCAGGTCGCAATCGCCCCCCCCCCCCCCCGTACCAGTCCGCCCCTGCAAATTGAAATCTAAGTATGGTACACTGAGGTACATTGCTTCATTTTTATTTCTCTTCCAATTTCACGGCGAGATCATCGATCTTAGCATCAGAATACGCAAAAAATGAGTCAAACAATAAAAGCAACTGCAAATTGAAAAAATTTGGACCTGACTTAAAACTGTCTACCACTTTTGCAACGTGTTCAACTACTTTTAGTGAAAAATACGGTGTATCAAGCTCATTAGAAGAACTCATTCGATAATGTTGAATTATCAAAGATTGACGATAACAGAAATCGATTATTTCATTTTGATAGGGAGCAACTGAACAATTTCTGTCTCCAAAAGTTAAGTAGCCTTTTTGCTCCCGTAAGTTCGAAAGGTTTTTAGACGACACCAGGTAGTTCTAGATAGCTTTGTAATGCTTTCCAGAATGTATTAGTTGTTCCTGCCCCATAGAGATATAGAGATCACTAAAGCGGGCGAGTGCGACAGAATGTTACGGAAAGGCTACTAAGATATTTCAAAGCATTTGCTGTTCAGATATTTATGGATTATCCCAAAACCTCTTAAAAAGGACTCGTTAGGCTATTACGAGCCTTAGGAATACTTTTGAACTGCCTAAAACGCCTCCTAGTTTCAGTATCAGTATTGATTTTAATTAAAACTGTAATATCACGTGTGATGAAATAAAAACACCCAATGGAAATTACTTTACGTCCAGAAATACACCCCCTGTTGTGTTCATAACTAGTTCCAATTAATAACGGTACAGTGGGTACATTACAAATAGTCGTACGGAAAGCAAAGTTAACCGAAACTGTAATTAAAACTTTCATCATTTTGGCTTCTACGGCCTAACAAAAAGTGCGTTATTCACCTCAAGTTTTTCCAAGTAATTCTTTATGCGCTGATTACTTCTTGGTTGAAATGTTCGTCATTGTTCATTTTGAAACTTCCTCTTCCTACCGCTTAGAAAATCGCCTTTATTGTTTTGACGGAAACGCCCGCTGAAAAATCGACTTACAACAGTTATCAAACTTCATATCTTGGTTTCGAGTTTAAAACGTTTGCTGATTAAATTGCGTTAGTAGCGTTAAGAATGTCGGGATCGGACGATGAAAAGCTGAGGCTGTTAAAGGGACTTAACGAAAGATGGTGGGACGAGGATGGCAATTTGGTTACGCTACACTCATCCTGCAAACTGATAGCGCCCTATATACGGGACGAGATTATACACGCGGGAATTGCGAGGGCGGACGCCGCAAGTGGCCTTACGCCTTTGGACGATGTAACCGCTCTCGAAGTTGGATGCGGAGGTAAGCGACCACTTTAGTGCGAAGTTTAAAGGATTTTTCCTTAGGGGGCATCCTGACTGAACGTTTGGCAAAGATGGGATGTACGGTGACCGGAATAGACGTTATTGGCGAACTTATAGCGGTCGCTAAACGGCGCGCGTCGTCCGATCCCCTTCTGAAAACCAAAGTGAGTTACAAGAAGGAGTCCATCGAACATCACGCCGCCAATAATGCCGAAAAATACGACGTCGTCGTTTCGCACTTTTGCCTGGAGCAAGCTGAAGACCAACAAACCTTTATCGAATCTTGCGGTAAATGTCTCAAACCTGGCGGAGCCATTTTCATTACTACCGTCAGCAAAACCATCTTAAGCTGGTTGGGAATTGTACTTCTGTACGAGAAACTCTTCAAGTGCATACCCGTTGGAATGCACGATTGGAATAGGTGCCTTACCGCAGACAAATGTCACCAAATTCTTCAGCGACGTATAGTTCTCCTACTGATCAGATTGTATAACTGTACTTATTTTTCCAGATAATCTAAAAACGATAGCAACGCGAGGATTTTACTACAATTATTTTTCCAAAAGGTCCTTTTGGATTCGATGTGCATCCTTATTCTACATAACGTATGCAAAGAAAAAGGCCATCGAAGAAAATGTGAAAGAAATAACTAAAGATTGTTTAAAGAAATGAATAGGGGATTAGTTTTTAAGACGAATACCACAAAATTTCGTGTTAAATTAACAAAAAAATTGAAATGGTTCCAATACACACTTCCCTTGTACAGGATTTTCTACAAATATTTTTTGTTTTACGATTTAAAGCAATTTACATGGATACGGTTTCTGCGAAGTGCACCTAACTTACATAGTACGAGTAAGAATAATACAGGAAAAATCTGTATCCACAATTTACCTTAAAGATAATTATAATGAACCCATGAATTTTGAAGATTTCCTTAACTACATAATATAATAAAAAAGACTTGTTCTGTATGTTAAATTCAGAAACGTGTCAATAAAGTTTTAGTTTATATATTTCTTATGTTAAAGCTACAACCAATGATTGATGTTATGGCACTGATTCTTAGAGATGTAACCATTTAATTTAACATAAATGAAATAGACAGCACTGTACCTCGTAAAATTAATATCCTTGTCGTTAACGGCGTTATATATAATTATCTATACATCCCATTTGGGATTGCACCCGCTCATTTGAAAACTCCTTTAGTGTGGTGATAGTTTCTCCACGTTCTTCGCTTCTTCTCCCAGTCCAATTTGTTGCTTGCTTGGCTTCTTCTGTTATCTTCCTCCAAGTGTTCCGGTCATGTATCTTCTTCCTTCATTTTTTAATTCCTAGGCTTCCTGTGTCCTTAATCACTTGATCCCCCCTACACTTTGGTCTTCCCTTCGGTCTTTTTTTGCTCTCAGAATTCTTATTATTAGTTTCCTTTCAAAAAATCTTAATCTTAATTTCATCGCCTCGATTCCGTACGTCACGCCTGATCTAATTTGTATAGCCGAATTTTTATGGATCTACTTATGTTTTTTTTTTCACTATACTTTTGTATTTATGGTAGGCTCTATACCTTGGGCTATCTCGTGGTTTCTTTCATTTTTGTTGTTAATTATGACCCTTAAGTGCTTTTGCACAACCTCAAACCGGTAGTTTCCTATATCTACTTTCTTTTCGGTATGTATTCCATGAGTTTATCTTCATATCCCCTTTTGCTTGCTCCCTTTTCAATTATTTGTACTACCTCCTGTAAGCTTTCCCTACTCCTTGGTATTATCGCTATATCGTCCGCGTATGCCACTATCACCTTTTCTGCAGTATTTTCAATGCTTCTTTTTATATTATTCCACTCTTCTTCGGTAGATTCAGCCCTTTGTTCATATTGCTTGCTCCTGTTTCTCCTTTGCTAGTGTTTTATCTCTCTCAATTTTTCGTCGCTTTACCTTGGTTGTTACTAGGAGGTGATCTGCGCTATCTTCCGCCCCCCCCCTCCCCATTATGATCTGACATCCTGGATTATAGTCGCATGTGTTCCATTTGAAATCTCCTACGGTTACAAGCGTGCCTTACTTCTGTATTAATTCGCGAGTTTTCCTTAGTTATTCATAAAATTCATTCTTCTTCTGCTACCTTCTTTTTACTACCTTGAATGTTTTCACCTCCGTAATAAAAATTGTGACCTTGTCTGTCTATCCTTCCTTCCCCTTTCGTTCTTACCTGCTGTATTGCTAGGATTCTTATTTCTTCATTTCTTTGGCGATTTCTTCCATTCTACCGGGAGCAAGTCTATGTGCCACGTTCCTATTATTTATTGTTGTTTATTTGTGCTTTTTGTTTTTCCGTTTATCATTTCCCATTTCATTGCTTTATCGCTTAATTTTTGGATTAAGGAGACGGGAGCACATTACTCACAAGTTAAAAGAATTAAAATGGTTAAGTATGTCTGATCGAAGGTTGTTACATTCTGCGTGTGTATATCATCGCATAATTGCTTATCAAAAGGCATCTTACCTATTTAATAAAGTAACTCTTAGAACGGATGTCCATAGTATCAACATTAGATCAAAGAATATTCTAACGGTACCGATTCATAAAACTTCTCTATATCAACGTTCATTCAGTTATAACATCTGCAAAATTTATAATTCCCTCAGTCCGTCTTTAAAATCTTGTGACACACCGTCATTTAAGAGGCTCTTTTACAAGTCTTTACTGCAGAATCAATAAATTAATGGCGTTTTCTGTTCTTTTACTTGTTTCTCCAATATGTCTTAGCTGCCATAAATGATTTAACAATTTATTTTAAAAGGGTTAAGTGGGAGAGCAGATGGTATGGATGCCGTACCAATCTGAACTTCGCCCTTTTGGGTTGTCACATAAATTATTTTTTAGTTACTATCATAAACTTGTAAACGGCAACTCAATAAACGACTATTATTATTATTATTATTACATTGTCATTTGTTTCGTACCTGTTGCACTCTTTTTTTGTTTTGATTTTGCAGAGTTGCTGATTGTGTCTTTAAATTTTTCTAATTTATATTCGTCTCCATTCAGTATCAATTTGTTATGAGCGAGGGTGGTTTTGGGTACGGTAGTAGGCCCTTTCTGTCTTCCTGTACAAACTTTTTCTGCAAAATCGTCCCCTATCCAAACGTTATTCCTTTAAGATTTCTTATCTTATTGTATATTTCCATTTTTTCGTCCATTTTTGGTCTGTTCCTGCCATCCTTCTAGTTCCCCAATCTAATGACCTCCACTATATCTTCTTACTCAATTTTTTTTCCAGGGCACCGTGTATCTTCTTTTCCAAACTCCATTAATTTTATCTTCCAGACTAATCCCCCTTTTTGGTATTAAAAGGCACTGCCCCTTTTTAGCCCATTTTGTAAATTTATTTGTGAAAAGGTAGCTTTTAATCTCACTTTGGCTGGCTGGTTGGCAGCAAATGCGGGACCGTAGAAGAACGCTTGTAGAAAGACGAGGAGTGTACATGTACCGACCGGGGTCGTGTAATTAACAACTTTAGGGACGAGGCTACATGCGGCGACATCTGGGCGCTATCCTCGAGCGTGTTATTCTGACATGGTGATTTTTTCTTCTTCTACAGTTTTGGTCCGATTGTTCTCAAAATGGAACGGGACCTCGGAAGTGGGTACCGACGAAGGGAATGTAGGAGCTTTCGACAAGATATTATTGATGGCGGAGTCAAAACTGGCTAATAGAATACTGATCTACCACATACAAATGGGCTGAAGTCCCTTCTATTTTACAGGAGGACTTTGATAATTTTCTATATCACTTGTAGAAATCAAGTCAGTCATGTTTTTTATTGTACCAATAGGAATCGGTACATTTTCGAAAGCCCCGAAGAAGAAGGTTGCGCTTTCCCACTGAAATTCAGCTGACTTTGCTTTTTTACGAACTAAGCGTAATCCCATGCTGACTTGCAATTGCAACTAATTAGGAAGATGAAATATGATACCCGTTAAGAAACAACGCTTCATTTTTTTCAGGATCCCTTGTATCTTGTTTTCCGTTCCCTCTGGCGCTTCTTGGTTTTTGTTCTCGACCCCTTGGATTACGATATTATTTCTTCTTACCTCTCTTTCTCACATCGATTCTTCTTCCTTGTTCTAGCGCGGTCTTCTTTAATTTTAAAATTTCTTCCTTCAGTTCCTTTATTACCTCTGCGTTACTATTAAAATAGTTTTGCGTTTATTAAAAGCGTGTTTATTGTACTCACACCCTTTTCTCAGTGATTATTGATTAAAATTCAACACATTTTTCTCGAACTCGCTGAATAACTGTTTATTCCAAACTGGTCGCAAACCAGAGCGCAATTTTCTCCAACTTTCTTAGACTACGCGGACCTAACGCTCTGGTCACGTTGAGGGTTTAAACATGAACCAATTGCCATTTTTTTAAGGGCGATGCACTGGTCGTCTCGATTGTTAAAACGCGAATCCTTCCTTATAATTTCTCACTGAAACCTACAAAATGGCGAACTGTTAACGCAGACGGGCATATTTAATTGTTAATTGGTTGTTTAAATCGCGCCCTACGAATCAGATGAATGTTAGGGGGATAAATCATTCTCACATAATAATATGCCAAATTTGCAGCTTCCGCGCTGCTGTATGACATCACGCCGAGTTCGCATTTGTAATATGATCCCCACCCCGGGCATCTTGTCGCCTTGGTTACCGATTTTAATTAAGGGAACAATAATACTCCATTCAATCGAAAATGAGCAGCAAGGACAATCTTGATTTCCATTACGGTTTACGAATACTATTCCACTAAATAAATCCTTTATTGCGAAATCGACCTTTTCAATTTCGACATACTGCAAAATATCTTTGATGCCTAAGTGTTCTACTCTGAAAATTCTCAAATAAAATAAAATAATAAAATAATTTTATAAACAGTTTGTTCTTTGGTTCAGAAACGTTCATTTTTCGACCGATTTAAGACAAGTCGAATCTCTATGACTCTAAAAACCAGAGTTACTTGAAGAATTTTGGAATTTCAGTGTCCAAGAGATAATGTGTCTGCCTCATTATATAAAAACCCAAATTTTCAATAGGTTTCGACCAAGATTACCCTAAATGGTACGGATATTTTCAGAGTAGGTACCTGTACCTCCAATAACAACGGAAGTATGGACAAAATTCTACCACGAGCAGTATGAGATCATAAAGAGATTTTCTGATATGATCATCGGCACCTAACAGGAAAAAATGAGCAGAAGAAATATGTGCGTAAGCCGTTGTAACAAAGATTTTTATCTTTTGAGCTTTCTGGCACTTTGGTAGAACGTCGACTTTTTGAAATCATCACTTTGGAAATCTAAAAATCGCTAAATACAATGTTATGCATGGGGCATAATTTTGGCACGTTCAATTTTACACGTTGAAAGGGTGTAAAACTGAACGATGCACTCATAAAGTTAATTGAATGGCATCTGAAACTTGTCACCGAAGTGTAATTATTTAAAACCTTATTCTATTCAGAAAGTGTTCAATTTTTCATGGTCAATCATTATTTAAATTAGAAACGTTTACATATGCATAGCCGTTATACATACACAACTGGTTTGAGCATCGTTACAATGGGGGCCTTGACAAATGGAACTCTACATATTAAAATATGGAGATGTTCCGGTATGCAAATTTCGTTATTATTATTTAAATTAATTATACCGCTACACAGGTTTAACTACCAGTTTGGATGCAGTAATAGGTTAATTAATGTTTTGATTCATTAAATATTCTACCATATGAGAGAGTGGTCCATTATAAACGCGATCGAACACTGGGATTTCGCAATAGTCGAAATCTGATACAGCTTGATACAATTTGTCATCTATAGTTTCTTTGGTAAAATTTGAGCAGGTTATTGGCAAATTTTTCTAATGCTAATTCATAGGTACCTTTGGAGGAACAAGCAATTCAATGTTTATAAATAATCTTGTGCGTATTCTTCACCAGAAGTTCCACTGTTTCTGAACAGTCGA